GTTAAGGCTTCGATAGTTGTGTAGGAGGCCTGACTCCAGCTATTACAGGCTCAGTTTCGACCCAAGCAATGGATATTTAGTTAAGTCGGTCAAAAAAACTTATATTGACTTCACAAAGGAATCATTGAATAGCCTGCTGCATAACACATCACTTGTCGGGGCTTAACAATTCAAAGCAAAAGTAGCAACCAAGAGTAACAGAAGTGAATAAACCTGTTGAGATGGAGGGCCTCCAAAGTTGTAATCTTGTACTAATTACTACTCTTTGGAAAAGAGGCACATCCAATAACTAAGGGAACTTCATTCAACCATACATAACTCACTCAAACTCACCCGTCTTCAGCTCCATGTACAAGTCATTGCCATACATGAGAATAGGTTTAAAGTACATCAACTTCAAGCTGGATTGATTATAAAAATGAGTTCTATACAATTATTTACAAATTTAGTAATTTATGAGTCCACCTCACAGAATATAGTGGCAGGTTGATAAGAAATACATTAGCGCCAGCATAATCTTATGAGCCCGTATGGTTTATTTTTTTGGAGAGGTTTGGATTGACTTATTCAAACTTTTCCAAACCCANGAATATAGTGGCAGGTTGATAAGAAATACATTAGCGCCAGCATAATCTTATGAGCCCGTATGGTTTATTTTTTTGGAGAGGTTTGGATTGACTTATTCAAACTTTTCCAAACCCAAACTCCTCTTTATAAAGATGAGATTCAACATTCAATTCTATTTATAATCATGTTTAGTATATGCATGGATATATCACTATTATGATAATATATTTGTATATAAATGATTATTATGCCCCTTAACCAATCTAATCCAAACTCATGTTTGTATACGTACATTTTCTTGTATCCTTAGGATTTTAATATTTGTTTATTTGATTATTTGGGGTATAAATATTTGATTATTTAGAGTATATGGGCTATAAATATCATTTTGTATGTTCAAAATTTAACCCTCATTTGAAACCCACCTGCCATCGGGTTTCATGAAACCCATGAGCTTACGTTTAAACTACGGGCCTAAAGCGGGTTGGACTTGACAACTTGGACTAAAAGTTTAGTTGTTAAACATGGGTTTGTTTGGTTTTGTAGACTTTTATTTTCCAATCCATCTTTCAAATCCCCTTGTCCTACATACCAAACAAGCCCTATGAATATTGATTTATTTTGATTTCCATTAATGTAACATAGTGTTTCGAAACAACTAATTTATAATACTGAGGCCTTTAATTGAATGTATTCCACTCAAATGTCGACACATTTGAATGTGAATCTAAATTTATAAAGCTTGATTTGAATACTTAACATTTTATAAAATTTGAATCGAATACTAAAAAACTTATCTTTAACTGTAATAACAAAAAAAAAAATCGTGACTTTGATTTAAAATTCTTTTGGTTTGATTATGATTAATTCAAAAATTATAAATCCAACTAAATTTAATCAATTTTGTATAATTACTTCATAAACGAGGTGAAATCCAAGTAATGTGATAAGTTCTTTAGGCACAATTCCCGTCAATCTAAACTAATTAAATCAATGAAACAAAATTTAAGTAAATTACATCTAAATTTTAACTCAATTGAATAATATAATAACTCATTTAATCATAAATTTCTCTCCATAAATATGATTTGGACCGGATCACACTCTCCATCACCGCCTTCCCTTTGCTTTGATCGCATTTTGTGATGAGGTTGGTCCAATCACAACGTCTTATTTATTAATATAATTTATTAACTTAATTCATTTTAATCATTAGATTATTAACAAATATTCTTCCATCTCAATCATTAGATTATTTACAGATTTCAAAGAATATTAACACCTTCCCTTGTGTTCATCCAAAAAAAAGAAAAAAAAAGTGATATACCCATTTTGGTGGGTGGTGGCACATATATATGTTAGTGGGAATTTATTCCCTTTGTTGTCCCCCAATAATTGTGTTTCACAAAAAAGAAAAAAGGACAACTGTTCTCCATGTGTAATGTGTTTTCTTGTTTTATAGAATGTGCAAATTTGCGTCAATTATTCTCTTAAATTTAGCGATTGATTATCGTAACTTGAGTTGAGTTAAAATATATCTCTAAAGAAATTAGGGTAACTAATTCTTATGGGATGTTAAAAAAAATTAAATTTGAGACCTCTAAATTATCAAAAATCAGATTCAACCACCGAATCTCTAAAATTTTTTGTATAAGGTGTTGGTGTGACAATCCAAACGATAATAAATACTTGAAATTTCCCTTTAACTAAGTAATAAACGAAACAAAACCAATCATTGGCAAAATAATAATAAAATAACATTGACTTCATCCATATTTCTACTTTCAAGTGAAGTTCCATAAATATTTAAAAGTCCATGTCCCTTAAGATTTGGAGCTGTTTTTTTTTTTTTTTGCAAACCTTTTAACTTTTTCCTACTTTTCAAATATATTGTATAAATCTCACTCAAAAAAAAAAAAACATTGCAGGAATTATTTCAATTCTTAATTAGCAGTCCCATTCTAGGATTTTTGACTCTGTCCCAGCTTCAAACTAAGTTAGACTTGATAGGTTACACAACCACAAAAAAATTCAAAAGGAAATAATATATCATAATTTAANGGAATTATTTCAATTCTTAATTAGCAGTCCCATTCTAGGATTTTTGACTCTGTCCCAGCTTCAAACTAAGTTAGATTTGATAGGTTACACAACCACAAAAAAATTCAAAAGGAAATAATATATCATAATTTAATTTAAGATTTTTGACATTATAATTTGCAACTTTATTTGTTTTTGGATGAAATTTTNAATTTAAGATTTTTGACATTATAATTTGCAACTTTATTTGTTTTTGGATGAAATTTTTTCCCGATAATTTAAATAAGAGTTTATAATGATTTATTAAAGTCGGAGATTTGACAAGTTTTACGCTTGTTATCAATAATTTAAAAATATTTTTTTAATCCAAAACTTGAAATCAAGTATATGGAAAAAAAAACACTAAAATTTACCCTAAGAAAGCAAAATTTTTTCTTTTTAGTTTAATGGTTAAATGTATTCAGACCAGTTTACGTGTACCTCAATTAATCTCTTTTTTGGTCTGGTCAAAGGCAGACCATCCACATCGAGACTAGAATATTTATGAAAAATAAATCTTTCATGATCTAACCTCAATAAATTACTAAAATTAAAATCTAAAATATATTTATAACTCATTTTTATTATCATTTAAAGTAAGTCGCGAATAAAAATAAAAGTTTTTGGATAAGAATTAAACCCCACAAAAGCTCTTAAAACAATGACACCTCAAATTGTAATCCCAACATCCAACAATTGAGACATGTTAAAGAGCAATAGAAAATTAAACAATATAAACTATTTTCAACGGTAACCATAATTTTTACTCATTTCGGTCTTAAATATCTGTTATTTAAGATTTTTGCACAGGGATTAAGGAAGCTATTAAATAACTGTAATATGAATAAAAAATAATTACACAAGATTAAAATACTCTTATTCAATATGTATTGGGAAGGAAAAGAATATAAAAAATATTTAGTTTCCACCTAATTTAATTTATTGAAAAGTTAAGGGTAAATTTAAAAAAATATATATCAATTATGCTTTAATTTCATAAAATGATAGATATTATTAAAAAAAAAATTATGTAAAACGACATATATATTTAAAAAAGGAAGGAATATTATTTAACAAGTATTATTTAACGATTCATGAACACAAGGACGGATGAGATCTTCTATAAACACGTGGACGGTGACAATCGATTGACACGGAAAGAAAAGTCCAAGTTCTTGAAGAAAGAGAGGAGAAAAAGGCAAAGGCCCCTAAACGGCTAGGATATTATCAGCGTACCTCTCTGTTGCTGAGCTGTCTACCAATGAGTAGAGAAAAACAACTAGAAATATGGGTGAATGACACTTTACCCCCTAAAGGATCTTTGAGTTCTCAATTTTTACCTTAATAGATTAAAATATTTGTTGTATACCTTTAATCAAAAGTTCTTTTTGAAATGCAACTTTAATCAAATAAAATAGTAACAGAATGATTATTTTTGATGTATTTTATACATTTTTATAATAACAAAAATTAAACATTGATCATATAATATTTAAAATGTATCTTTTTTTTCTTTAATCACACAATTTAATATTAAATAAAAAAAGCAAAATAAAAAAGGTAAAGGGGAGATAAGAGGGGTGTAAATGTGAATTAGTGAGGTTATTAGTTAGTGGAATTATTTAGTATTAAGATTGTGAAATGAAAAAAAAATGTTTTTTAGTGAGAAAATAAATTTGGAGATTAAATTTATACCATTGATCAAAGTAGAAGAAGATTGAATTAATTTTGACCGTTATTGTACTTTTAAGATACTCAATTTTAAATATCTTAAAAAAAGTGCTTAATATTATTAAAATGGACCATATTAATATTTTTATTTGATTTAATGTATAATATAAATATTTTAATCTTTCAAGATAAAAGTTTTAAGAACATTGGGGTTTAAAGTGTTATTCTCNTATTATTAAAATGGACCATATTAATATTTTTATTTGATTTAATGTATAATATAAATATTTTAATCTTTCAAGATAAAAGTTTTAAGAACATTGGGGTTTAAAGTGTTATTCTCCTAAAAATATTAACCGACTTAAAACCCTCATTCTCTCTCTTAACCCCTATATATCCTCCTCCTCTCTCTACCTATACGTGTAACTCNTCCTAAAAATATTAACCGACTTAAAACCCTCATTCTCTCTCTTAACCCCTATATATGCTCCTCCTCTCTCTACCTATACGTGTAACTCTCTCTCTCTGTAGCTCCTTGATTCCTCTCTTTCGGACTCTAGAATTTGTGTTAGTGTACGTGTGTGAAGGGAGAGAAACCGAGTATAATGGCTTACTTGAACGCCGTCGTTTTGGGTTTGATGTTCGCTTTGGTGGTTGGATCTGCTTTGGCTCAGGCTCCAGCAGGCGCACCGAAAGTTTCTCCGTTGGCCGCTCCGATTGCATCCCCGCCGAAGTCGGCTGTTACGCCATCTCCAGTACCTTCTCCCGCCGTAAAGCCACCAGTCTTCCCTCCGACCACAGAACCACCGACAAAGACTCCCATGACATCTCCGCCTGCTCCACCAACTGCTCCTGCTCCGGCTTCGTCTCCATCCATCGGAGCCGTTCCTGCCGGTGCTCCGACTTCGACGACTCCTGGTAACGTTGCAGCTTTGAACAGAGTTGCCTTCGCTGGATCTACCGGTCTAGTGCTCTTCGCTACCGCTTTGTTGCTGTAGATCTGATCTTGCTTTGCTTTTCTTTACTTGAGATGGAGATTTAGGGTTCATTCTTTAGTTTTTTTTTTTTTTTTACTTTTTTGCTTTAATTTATGGTTGTGTTGATTGTGATGATGACGATTAGTACATTACATAATTTGGATCACTGTGAATTTGATTTATTATTATATATGATGTATTCTCTTTTCCTTGTAATTTATTACTGTTGATCTGTGCCATTTTTTCCCCTATAAAGCTCGTCTCTTCTGTGGTTTGATCTCTGTTGCTTTTAGAAAAGGAAAATGAATAATGGGAGAGAGAAGGAAAGAGAAGCTAAGGGGAAAGTTGGCGAGGAAGGGGTGGATTTTGTCGTTTAGTAGGCTGTTGTTTGAGTGAGGTGTCAAAGGACCATGCATCGCCATGATTGCAGTTATTTCAGTATTTTATTGAAGGGTAATCGTAAGTTGCACATGAAAGATAGTTTAAATCTCAATTTAGTTTTTTAAAGATAAAAAATTTTAATTTATACTCTCAAAAATAAAAATTTTTATCAATGTGCATCCTCAAAGATAAAAAATTTTAATTTATACTCTAAAAGATAGAAATTTATATTAAGGTACACTTAAAATTAAATTTGATAAATTATACATAAATCTCTTTATATTTATCACTTAATCATTTGAACTCTTTTACATTTAGAATATTACTTCTACATCTCATGACGTTTGTGCACGTATAACACGTAATTCCTTTTCGTTGATATCGATTAATATAATCGTTAAAAAATATAATTTTATCCTAATAAAAATTATAATTTCATATTACCCTTTATTTTGTGGGTTCGATATACTCTAAAGTTCAAAATCAAGTTTATTATTTGAATGTCCAATAAAATGTAGATATTTATATTATATTTTTTATATCCAATGCAATATATCACTCAATGTGCAACCCTTTATTCTATTAGAGATTCAAATGACAAGTTTGATTTTGAACTTTAGAGTATATTGAATCCATAAAATAAAGGGTCATATAAATTATAATTTTTTATTTGAATAAAATCATATTTTTTAACGGTTATAATATCAACAAAAATAGATTACGTGTTACACGTGCACAAACGTCATGAGATCTAAGAGTAATATTTTAAATATGAAAAGGTACAAATGATTAAGTGACACGTATAAGGGGATCTATGTATAATTTATTAATTTAGTTTTAGATGCACATTAATACAAATTTCTATTTTTTAGGGTACAAATTAAGATTTTCTTTCTTTAAAGGTATACATTAATATAAATTTCTATTTTTGAGGGTGTAAATTAAGATTGTTGATCTTTAGAGGTGTACATTAATACAAATTTCTTTTTTTGAGGGTATAAATTGATATTCGAACGATTTTTTAGAGTGTAATTTATAATTAACCATTTATTGAATGTAATTTACTATCAATTCAATACTTACAATATATTAAAATTTAAAATTACTTTTCCATAACATTAGTGTTAACAAATTTATGTCAAAAAGTATATCACTTTTATTGGTTGGTTTAATGGAGAATGCATATATAAATGAGTTTATATTGTGTATTTTTTTAATTAATTTTATTTATTAATTATGTTGTGTTGAATGTTTTTTGTGGTTGATATTATTTTTAAGTTAATTCGATAATTAATAATTTTTAAATTTAATAAGAAAAATAAATATCCTAAAGATATGTTTAGTGTGATTTTTTAAAAGTACTTTTAGAACTTATGATTTGACATAAATATTTTAAAATAAATAAATAGTATTTAAAATAACTTATTTTAATTACTTTTAAATAAATCAAAAGTAGTTTTACTACTTCAATAAATAAGTAAAAAAATAATTTTTACTTCTTTAAAATCATTTTTTTTATAAAATACTTTATCACCAATGTTGTCGTCGCCACCACCGTTGTTCCATTACTACCACCACCGCCACCCCACCATTACAACCATCGTCGTCATTGTTACTCATCACTCATCTTTATTATTGTTATTCACAATCACAACAAAATTATTTTATTATTATATTATTACCATTTATCGTCGTTGCCCACAAAAAACATCTCTCATTGTCCATCACTACTCACATCCACGACCACCTTGTCACCGCTCATCACTATAATTTATTATTGTCATAATCATCATCGTTGCTCTACTATCAACGTTGCTCACCACTATTCACATTTATTATCATCACCGCTATCATTCATGATTTTCATTACTATCGTCGTCATCCCAAAACTTCCACCACTATTACCATAGTCGTTGTTATCTACCACAATTATTATTATTTCTCATTATCATCACCGTCACCCACCACTGCTCACCCTTTACAATCAATAATTAAATTCATTTTTTTCTCTTCAACTTTGTGATTTAATTTTAGATATAAATATAAATATGTTTATAATTGATATTTTTTTTTTTGTTACTCTATGTTTTAGATACTGACAATTACTAGCATTTTTATATTTTACATAAGGAAAGCTATTACCTGCAATGAGTTCGGCATCGGTGTATTTTTGAGTTTAGGGTAGGGTTGGAAAAAGGTAGCGTAGCCGCGTGGGATTACATTACAGGCGTCACGTGGTTTACAGCTGTTTTTTATCCCCATCTTTACATGATGATCCCATGTGCATACCTGATAGGTTGATACTTTATTCTTGGTGGATTTTGTAACGGTTATATGCTGCAACGTACTAATGGTCTGAGAGACTAGTTAAAATATTATTTTTAGTTATTTTAGATAATTTTTTCTTGGAATGTGGTTTCTACATATTAGCTATTTTTTTTTTATCTATTTTTCATAATCCTATTTTTACTAACTACATCTACTTGGCCACTTCTCACTAGCTACATCCAACAAAATCACTCACAAATCTAATAAACTCCTCCAAAAATCTATCAACATCCCCAAAAAATTTAACAAAATCTCTCAAAAATTCAGTAAACTTTTCCCAAAAATTTGATTTTGGTTATTTGTGTAGTTTAAGATAATTTTGTTTTGAATTTTGTGATTTAATTTGAGAGAATTTAATTTTAGGGTAGTAATTTTCAGGAGATGGATTTTCTCTTGTAACCTATAATTGATAAAATTTATACAATGTATAGTTGAATTGTTATTTTTTGAATTTTATTATTGAAAGTTAATTAAAGTTAGTTGAAGTGGTTAGCTATAATAGATAGCGTTGTTGAAGTGAATTTAAAAAAGTGGTTAATTAAAGTAAATAATACAATATTTAAATGTATTTTGAATAGCTATTTTAGATAGCATTGTTAGAAATGTTCTAAGTTACGACAACATTAAAAAAAAATTAAATGATGTGATATTATAATAATAATATTTTAAATTTTATTTTTTGATTATCATAACATAATCCTAAGTATTAGGATGATGGTTATGATCTAATGTGCAATTAGGTCCGTCAATGGTATCGGATTAAATAAATTTGTGTTGTATTTTAACGAGTTCCTCTAAAAAAACACTCCCCTCAGCTTTTTGGTGTTTGGAATAGTGGTTGGTAGCTAATCAAGTTGAAATCATACATAATTAAAATAATTAATGATTTATCAAAATATTTAAAGATCGATGATGGATTACTTCAAACAATTTTAATTTTACCTTTAAAAAGTACAATTTAACTTTGAAAAATATTAAGTCCAGAAATGGTATTAAAATTGTTACGGTTACACTACGTCAACAATGTCACATAATATAACTGTCTTCTAATGAGTAATCAAGTTTACAAGTGAGCTCTACAAAAATTTCATAACCTTCCAACCATTTAATACATAACCACCTCTTTGTAAGGAAGTGAGTTCAATTTTATACATTTTGTAATTTTTCTATTGAATAATTATACTACATGATACTGCTGACGCAGTGTAACAGTACCGTTGATTTGGACTTTGTAAGCCAATCAGGCTTTTCCTACTTCGAGAGATGGGTTGAGCCCATTAACTCAATCAAGAAGAAGCCCATAGAAAGGCTTAATAGGAGCCACTTCAACAGATTTGGATAAAACTAGATGTGATCATTGATTTCTATTTTAGTCCAATTTTTTAAGGGAAAGATTACGGTGTGGATGACGGTTTGGTATTAAAAATTATAATTTTTTGAAATATAAGCTATAATTCATAAAAAGTATGATCGATACAAAACATTGCGATTAAGGGTTTGTTTTTTTGAGGTCAAGAATTCAAGTTCTCCTCCCCTCTCCCCAAAAAAAAAAAAAAATTTACAATTGGTAAAAAAGAAATTATAATTGTTCGAACACTTTTTTCAACCGCTTGTAACTTCTCCTTTCATATGTTTAATTTTATCATTAAATTAAAAGTAATAATTTTTAGTAGGAAACCAAATTTTTTTTTGGGGTTTCCCATTTTTTAATCTAGTTTAAAAAACAGAGCATAGTGATTGTAACTTAGAGCCGGTTTGTTTTTTGGGTTTAGGGGGGAATTGGTGTCGAAAGGTTGCGGAAAATAGTTCGAAGGACCTTCAAACTCCATGTTTGAACTAAAGTTTCAAGGGTCCTTTAGAGACTGGTATTTTTTTGGAGACTTATTTGGATCGAAGTACACTCAAAAAATTTGTTTTGGGATAAATCCATTTTGATTTCCATTATCTAAAATACCCTCATTAGTTATATTTAATCAAAACTTGTTTGAAAACACTAACAACTCCTAAATTGAGAATTATATTATTATTAACAACTCCTACATTAAAAATTGTCCTAGCATTAAAATTATGTTTATATATATATATACTCACATATGATGTCATTCTATTGCAATGATTATATTTTTAATTAAGTTTTTTATTGAACATGTTAATGTTTGATGTTACTATTTATTTGTTGAGTGTGTTACTATTTGATGTTATGATTTTAATGTTATGATATATTTATATACTAGTCATAACCCGTGCCTGAAGGCATGATAAAATATAAAATTTGAGCATAAAAAAAATCGATCTCACTATTTTAAATTTTTTCAAAATATATTAACTACAAATTAATTAAATATTAAATGATTAAATATATGATAGAAATGAATGATGTGATATTTTTAGAGAGAAAATATATAAATTACTAAACATATAATAGAAATGAGTGATGTGATTTAACGTTTGAGTTTGATAAATGGATAATGGGTGAGGTACGTGAATGGTGATGGTTTTGAGGGAAAAAATATGACTGAGATAAAATTCAAACACACTTCAATTTTATTATATATATAATTTTAATGATAACACAATTTTCAAGTTAGGAATTGTTATATTTGAAAGAACAATGCTATTGAGACCTAATTTATTGACATAATTTGTTAACCTAATTCATTGTGACCTTTGGATTCATTGTAGACCCCATCAAATATTGGAACTCAGTGTTTATCCAATGATTCTTATAAACCTCATCATTATGTCAACAAATTATGTCAAATTTTTAAGTCCAAATAGTATTACTCTATTTGAAAACATTGAAACTAATAATGGTAGATAATATTTATGGTAAAGGTAATTATGGAATATATTTCAAAAAAAATTTGAAATGTTTTAAAATGTGTACTTATTGATAACTATTTGATAAAAAAATAAGACTTAATAGAGTATAAGTTTAAAAGTGGTACTTAAAATCAAATAAGTTCTAAAAAAATGATCCACAGCCAATTATCTGAAATTTCAATCTTGGGTTACCAAATCCAGATTGCAGCTGGCCCGAATAATAAACCTGTGATCATAGGTTTCGTCGAACATAAGGGGGTGAGTTTCGAAAGATAGGTTAATGGATTAAGAATTAAAAAGACAATTGTACCACTTAACATGAGTATGAATTGAGTTAATTAAGGGATAAAATAGTCATTTATAAGACAAATATTTGTTAATAATTATGATATATCTGTGGATTCTATATATATATGTATTGCTTATCCAACATAAGTATGAACTAGATTCAATGTTGAATTTCATCTTTATAAAGAGAAATTTGAGTTGGGAGGATTTTGGAAAACTAATCCAAATTCCCCCAAAAAATCTATCCAAGACTTATGGTCACATCTCAATTAAAAACCTACTGATTAATGGTAACAATATGTAGATAGAGAGAGAGAGAGAGAGAGAAAGAGAGAGAGAGAGGGGCACTGGCTCCATCCTGGCTAGGGCAAGCACCCTTGTCAGACTTGTGAGAGAACCAACTTAAACATCACTACAAAAGTAATAACCACTGCCATAAATGGAGAGAGAGTCCTTGATGAAGAAAATCCCGGAACAGTACTATATATTGATGGCGTGCAAAGAGTATTCGTCGGAGGCGCTGGAGAAGTCGTACTGCTGGACGGCAGAGTAGGGGAAGTTCCCGACGGTGAAGTGGTGGCTCCTCCTCCTCCTCCTCCTGTGACGGTCACAGCTAGCTTCATGCCACTGCCACAATGGCCGATTACACCGCAAATGAAGTAATGAGTTCCTGCAGTGTTAAGAGAGACGGTAGTGGAGCCACTATTGTCTGTACTGATCGAATTTCCCACAGTGCATGTTTTGTAGTCACTTGCACTCACTTCATCCAAAGTATGTCCACTTACATAGTTGAAAACTACAAAAATAAAGTATAACAAAGTTGCTAACATTTATTTTTTGTTAGATTATCCGATCCACAACTAATTGGTAATGAGTAAAGTAAACCGTAAACATATACATCAACACTAAGTGTACTAACTACTTTTTTGATGTGAGATAAAACCTCTCTTTACACTCTCTCTCTCTCTCGAGCTAGCCCCTAGACGGGAATGGAATGGAATTGAAATAGATAGACAAATAAATCGGATAATTCAATTGGGTGAGAAACTTGACCCATTAACTTTTATATAATTATAGTGACTCCTCGGGTATAAAACCAAACTTGGTGAACTTAATCATGAGATACGACCTTCATTCACAATTTTTATCATGGATTATAGAATTGTGTACGTATCCAATTTTTCTTCAGTATAGTTTCACTCAATTTTCTCTATATGATAGATGCTCCGCTATTTACTCATAAATAGTCTATTTGTATATAGTGGGTTTCAATTGAATAATGATCGATAAACTAATAGAAAAAAACATAAGTTATAAGTATCCCGATCTTATAAGTTTCCTATAAGTATGAAGTAATGTGTCATATATAGCACATTTTTGTACTTACCAAGGCTGTCGCCAATTGAAAAGGTCTTCCCAGTAGTCCAGGAGGTGTAATCAGAACCCAATGCCCAACCACCTGCATCGCCAACAGTGTAAACAGTGGCCAAACATGGCACAGCTGAACACAAGATCGCCATTAAACAAACAAGTCCACCTCCAGAGATGGCCATTATGTTTCTGAGATGATTCTGGTGGGACTTGGGGGGTTGCTTATATAACAGAGCAAGATGGAATGGGGGAATAAGTAGGTGTTTGGTTCACAACTTAGTTTCCATCACTGTGCATTGGTGGAAATGGATGTCAATTTTAACTCTTAGGGGTGGTTCAGTGGTTAAGCTTGATCTTTAGTTACACAGAAGTTTCAGGTTCAATTTTTTCCCACATAAGGGTTAGCCATCCGTGTTTCTTTAGGGACATGTTGTAATCTAGTTCAAGTTATAGTAACTAGCTGCTGAGCTCAAGAAAGTAGTTAACATAAATTTGGATATCTATACCCAAAAAAAAAAAAAGTCAATTTCTGGGATGACTTGAGTTAGAATTCATACCTAATGCCCCGGGAAAGTGGGTGCCTATATTTCTGCTTTTTTCTTTTATGTTAGTTTTTTTTAGGGAAAGATTTGTTTAGTTTTATTCAGTTGTGGGTTCTGATGTTCCTTTCTAACCACTCTTATACAGCATTTTGAGGACTCCAAAGATGCATTCGCAATGCGTCCGATATAAGCTACCCTCTTGAGTACAATTGTTGATTTTTTGAGTATAAGGTTGAATGTTGAGAGTGAGAGAGAGAGAGAGAGAGAGAGAGAGAGAGAGAGAGAGAGAGAGTGTCCAATATATGATCGAATATGTTAATATAATTTTATTTTCCATGCCTTTGTGAATTCAGTGTGTGTCAAAAGTTTATGTTCTTTGTACTTACGGACGGTGAACTCTTTTTATGTTTTTCCATGTATACTATCTACAAAAATAAAAAACCTGTGGAGCTTGATTGAGACTCCATACTGAGAGCAAGATGGCTGAGCAAGCAGGATATGTGTAGTTGTTAAAGAATGGGATAGAAAATGAGTTGTGTTGGAGAAGATAGAGTACTCCATTTCTCGATTGTGTACACATCACATAGTAACCCAATGAACAACTCACTATCTATACGCGGGGGTTAGACCTTAGAACCTCGAGATAATAACCAATAAGCTATCTTCAATGATGTTATAATCATGTCTTCACATTGTTAAATGTGTTTGGTTGCAAGAATATGACATTCCAACAGATGATGGCGTTAAAAACCCGGAAAGAGAGCAAGTTGGTAGATCCAGCAGTTGAGTGAATTCAGTACAATTTTGACTACAAATTTCTTATCCCAACTTCATATATTTCATTTAATCTTCAGAACTTAACTAAAACTTAGGTAGCACTTCAACTTCACTTAGATTTTCTCTTTGTTTTCTTCCTTAATTTCTTCCACTTGTTTACAACATCCAACAAATGTGGACTTTGACCATAATATTTGATAAAATTCTGTCCCAGCAACCTGGCTAGTAGTCTTCACTCATCTCTATCCACAGAATTTCGACTCCATAGCAATTTAAAAAAAATCTCATTTTGCACTCTCAAAAAGATTAGATTTCATACATTACACCCTCCATGTATTAAAAATGTTGTAATATGATCCTTCCATTAGCTTCCGTTGCTTATTCTGTCAAAAATCATCTCTTATTGACATTCACGGAACAAAGTAATTAGAACTAACGGAAGAGCCATATTACAACACTTTTCATACATTGAGGGTGCAAGAAACCTATTCTTTGGGGGTACAAAGTAAAATATTTGAAATCTTTCGCCCTAGCAATTTAACAAAATCTAGTTTCTAATTTTGTATACATCATCCCAATATGCAAGAAATACTGTGCAAAAGAAATTGTCTTTATCAGTGATCTGCTCCTTCCATAGCTTTTTTTTTTTGTCTGCAACCCCATTGCAATGAAAGAAAACAAAACCACTGAATGAGAGGAGCTGGAGTTGAATGAACATAAGGGCTGACAAATCCCTGATTTTTTGGCATTGCCTTCTAATTGTTTGTTTTTCACTCCGAGATAGAATCATAAAAAAGACAACTCATTACACAAAGCTCTTATAACTATGGGGTCTGAGGAGTTTACAGTTCTCAAAGTGCGCGCGCATGTGTGTGTGTGTGTGTGAGTGAGAGAGAGAGAGAGAGAGAGAGAGAGAGTACAATGGTTTACATAGCATTTCAACTGTTCTGTTCTCCACATTAAGCAACATAGGTCATTTTTGTTTTTAATAAATGACACTTGGTTAATTGCACTATCATTTTCCTATTTTTCTTCTAGTACATAATGCAGATAAATTATGAAACAACATAAGTGTCCCCCAAAATATGAATTAAAACACATATGAAGTACTTTCAAAGATTCAACGCCAAATGCCCGACACAGTCTCACTCGACGCGGTCTCACTCAGCAAGATAAGTGCCAACAATGAAGAGTACTGTATTAGACTGGTAAAACTCCATATTGAACAAGGATAATTGTCTAACACTTTCTCGTGATTAGCAATACAACTGTACTTTGCAGAAAGAAACTAAAAACCTAAAACCCGAATATGTATCTTCTCTGTTTCTACCAGCATTGCAAGGAGATGCCAGTCAACTATGCAGTGTTGACAACCACAGCATCTTGGTCCTAGACGAAACATTTATAAATTTATTTCTCAAATGATTTAGATGCTTTATTCAAGACTAGACTTATTAAGTAAAATTTTGCATGTAAAATCTACACAAAGAAAAGGAAACAACATGAGACAGACTATTTTGCTAGACTTAGAGAACCTAAGAAGCATGGATACGGACACGGATGTTGTATCCGATACGATACGGACACGGCGATACGGCAAAATTCTAAAATATAGGACACGGGTACGGCGAGGATACGGCTAATTAAAATAATTATATATATTTTTATATATATAACAACAACATTAATAATAACAAACAACCAAGATATAGAAAACATTACTTAAATTGAAATTGATCAAAGATTCAAAAAGATATATCTATAGTCCACAAGTTTGCTAACAAAAGAACACAAAAACAAAAGGAAAGCAATTTTTGGTATTCAAAACAAGTAGGCAGCAACACACTAGCACAGAAGGCAGCAACACAGATGACCCAAAAAAAAAAAACATAGCAACACAACAAAAAAGAGAAGACAAAAGCTAGCTAGGAAAGCAATTTTCGGTATTCAAAACCAGCAAGCAGCAGCACACTAGCACAGAAAGCAACAACACAGATGACCAAGACCAAAAAAAAAAAACCCAAAGACAGCAACACAACAAGAATACAGAGAAAAACAACAGCACAATAACAACAATAAAAAACCCTCAAATTTTGAAAACTCTAAAATCCTAACCTAATCAATTATTTTGAAAATCCACACAGATCAGAAGAAATAAGAGCAGTAGCAGCAGATCTTGAAAAAAAAAAAAATTGAAGCAACCAGAAGAACCTGTAGGAGACTGGGCCGCAATCGCAGATCCAGATCGTAGTCGCAGGTTAGTCTTCCTTTTCCCTCTCCTTCTTCTCCTCTTTTGGTCCTCTCGAGCTCGTTCTTCTCTTCTCTCTCTCTCTCTCTCTCGCAAACACATTGAAGTGTCGAAGCTTCAACTTTGTTTTTTCCCTTTTCCCTTTTATTTTTTCTTTTTTAAGCCAAATAACGTAACTTTGACATTTTTTTTTCGTTTCAGCCCTCTAAGTTTTTAAAATAACAAAAGTACCCCGTCGTATCCTGCCGTGTCCCTCCAGTATCCCCACGTATCCGACTAAAAAAATTCAAATTTACTGTATAGGACACTTTTACAAGTGTCAGACACGTGCCTGGTCGTGTCCTTTGCGTATCCATGTCGAAAACGTGTCCAACATTGCCACGACGACCCCCCGGCGAGTATCCGTACTTCCTAGTAGAGAACGCATTGAGGGAACGTTTCGCTCACTTAATTTCATTTTTTGTCACGGGGATTTTCCGAAAATTGCTGACTTATATGCTTTACTTCTGTGAAAAAGTGATTGCAACATACAGCCAAATGTAAAGATAAATGTGTAGGAGATAGAAGTGCAATCCTTCTGGTTCGAGGCATAGGATAGTTAAGTTAGATTGCACAAAACCTGCAATCGGTTAGGTTGAGACTGGTCTACCCTACATAAGTGGGATCAACTGTCAGTAATTGTGGATTCCTTATGCTGTAGAAATTGGTCTATCTGAGCAAACTCGCAAAGGCTAAATTTGTTGTCATCTTCATCCACCAAGAAAATTTGTAAGGACAAATACATATTAAACCTGTTCAGGCCATATTATTTGTGGCACCTATCCAACTAATAGAATCTGACATCAACAATATTAAAGTAATGTTTCCTAAGAGTAAAGTTTTAAAGTAACAAGAGAAGCTATAAGGGTACTTGTCTATTAGACATTTCTTATGACTTGGCATGTCTTCAAATTTTTGAAAGTCTAGACACTATTAGAAGGAACCCTAATTGAGAGTTGGAAGTCCTTAATTCAAGTCTCCCTTGGGGCCATTATCTGGAGCTGGTTGCTGAAGCATATGCAACGGGGACTACATATCCCCAGAGAATTACACGGGTACTTGTAAGAGACTCGAATACCAACCAGTTATAACAGGACATTTTCATTCACTTGATGCACTGCTTAAATTTTAGAGAGCCTAGCCCTTTTGCCCTCAGTTTAGTGTGCCATATTGATGTGTATTACATCTTTTTAGCTTTGAAACATCATATTCCTGTTTGATTAAGCAAGAGGCAACAGAACTCAAGCCATTTGAGCATTAATATAAGTTTTGATTAACAAAAATTGAATCAAGTGACAATACGTAATGTGAAACTAAAACAAAGTGAAGAAATGTGAACCTCACGGCCTCTAAGTTATTGAGCTTCAAGTTCTCTCTGATCCGTCCTCAGGGCTTGACTTGCTTAAGTTAATTTCAGATTCGATATTTGCTTTAGTTCCTTGTCTCAAAAATCTTTTGCTACGTGCCACTCGAATTTGTCTTCCCATAAACTCCTGCAAGACAACAACTTCTCACATGGAGTTCCTTCACACCAAATAGATTCATCCAATAGCTTGCATAGACCAAGAATTTCAGGAAAATACAAGCGTAATTACCCTAATCGCAGATTACCTTCCCTTGAAAAGCAGAGAGTGTTGATTCAGCCTCTTCCTTACTGTTAAAGGAAACAAATCCATATCCAGCAGACCGTCTTGGATTATCAAGGAATATGATTTCCGCCGAAACAACATTAGCATTCTCAGCATTAAAAAACTCCTTAAGGTCATTGGCCCTTGCCTGGAATGGCAAATTGGCTACAAACAAATTGTGTATTGGTACTGGCTTGGGTCGTGTTGGAGAAGAAGGTTTCTTCTTTTTTGGTCTAGCCCATTCGAGCTTCAAAACTCGACCCTCTAATTCCTAATCACCACCCATAAAATTACCAAATTTGAGCTTCTCTACTATTACATAATAATAAAATTTCATGAACTAATTAAAATTCAGAATGCTTACATACGCTTCCAGGTTATTGATCGCTGCCAGAGCTTCCTCGTGTGAACCCATTGTAACAAATGCTAAACCTCTGTTTCTAGTCTTGTTGAACATTGACAGCTTAAAGATATAATGAAAATAACAAAGACCCATTTCAGAACAGGAATCCAAAACAAACCCAGAAATATAAATCACTGAATGCTAACCTCAATGTCTACAACAGTCCCGTACTTCTGAAATAGAGGACGCAGGTCATCGGGTGTACTACTCCAGGGTACATTCTGGGCAAGCACTCTAGTTCGAGAAGACTCATCTTCTTCTTGTTCCTGTTCTACTTCTTCTACTCCTCCTCCTTCTTTGGGCTCTGATTGTTCAAGTTCTGGTGTTTCAATGGTGGCTTGTGCTTGGGATGAAGATAAGAGATGAAAGAAAAAATTGGGTTTTTGGGATTTGAGGGGAAGGGTGTGTGAAAGAGGAGAGAAAGAGGGGACAGAGAGAAGAAGAGGTGGAGGAAAGAAAGAATTATTGGCTTGTGGAGGTTTGTGAAGGGATGACGGAGAGGGCGTTGGTGAGAGTAATTGTTGGGTGGAGAAGATAGTTGTTGATGGAAAGCATAGAAGACGAAGTATCGCCATGGATGGACCTCAACTTTGCGATTGTAAGTGTTCTCCAGGTTTCAAAACTGGAGAAGTGTCGTCAAGATTGAAGGGAGGATTTTGGATAAGGAGGAAAGCGACACTCTTGGCGTCGTTTTGGACATTTTTTTTTGTACATTAACAGGAAATTTTTTTTTTTTTTTTAACGGAGCCTATGAACCATTATATTTATTTTACATTATATACTCAATTAGAAAATTTTTCACAGTATCAATTTTATTTTTTATTATTTCAATGGACAAAGACAAACTTGAAAAACTGTCAAATAAGGGAGAAAATCCCAAATAACTTCCCATCCCGTCATTTGTCTAGTGCCATTTTATTTAACATTTATTGCAATCAATGTTGTTAGAAAAAAAAAAAAAGAATGTCGCTCTGAAAAAAAAAAATTAAAGTTTAAGAAGGGTAAAGTCATGGGTGAATATTTTTCTTAAATTTTGAAATGCACATGTACAATAAGAAGTTACTTATTCATAGTACAAATCAAAAAATTGACAGTCGTTATCTATCTAGAGTGATATGAAATAAAAATTAATACCTTAGAAAGTAATGTGAAAAATTTTACAATTCAAAATACAAAATGAAACAAAAATAATAGTTCAAGAGAGTAAAATATAATTTACCCTAAATGGAATTATGCAAATACAAAAATCTCGTTGCGAGTCTTTGAGATAATATTTTTAAAATTCTCTCAAATTAAAATGAAGTAAATTTGGCCATAAATAACATACACCAGTTGAAGTAAGAAAGTGAATGAGATGTTTACAGAGAAGAACGGGACTTTTGTAGACACCCACTAAAAATGAGTAACTTCTGACTTAATTTTTAGACATTAGAATGTATGAGCAAACCAACTTGAATTTGAACGACGATTGGCATCAAGTCTTACCAAGATCGAATTTTCTTTTCATGCCATACACCACATCTTGATGTATCCTACAAGATGAACCGACATACAAGGACTTAAAAACCACAAAATGAACAAGGAATAACCCACAGGTTAAAGAAAAATAACCATGTCAGCTGCAAGTTACTGATAAAGTACCATCTGTAGTTAGTAAAAGCAGAAACTTGCATGCTGAGAAATAGGAGATCAAATCTCACTGTCACTGTTTCACCCATTTGATCAAATCTCTCCATCATTCACAAATGATTTTTGTGAAAAAGAACTTAGGGCTTAGCCTTAGCAGAAATATATGGGATGCAAATTGGTATGTATAGATACTGCCCTTAGGTTATTGCAGAAACATAGCATCATATTGCCATCTCTCTGTTAAAAAATCGACACCGTATAATTCTTCCAATGCAGCATCAGAACTAGATTCTTTCATATCTGCAAAAAAATTCACATTAAGGCTCACAACACAAACATTCCGTTTCTGTTGGATTAAAAAATCCTACACCGTCCATGAAAAAGAAAAGGAAAAACAAAAACCCGTTTCAACTAGTTGCCACGGAAATGATATAGGAACTCGTGACACACTTTTGTATAAACACCATAACTTGCAGTTCAAGAAAAACTAAAAAAAGAATAGTAACACCTTCTTCAGTACCAGGATCAAGGAAAACTAAAAAAGAATTAGAGCAGTTAATGAAAGTTTTTTATGTCACTTTTTGTGCATTCTAGACTCGGGGGAGTTATATTGCAAGGGCGACAGAGGCTGTCTGATAGATTCCCCATCGTTGAAATCGATTTTCTTCTCAATTGGGCTACTCATCTTGGGGCTAGATTTTCTCTTGTTTCTCTGCAAGACAATCAAATAAAGTAAACCAGTTATGTAAATATCAGATGCTACATAGGCATGTTTTAGGCACACACATCAACCCCTACAAAAAGTGAAATTCTTTTCACATTTCTCACCTTTGCAGAAACACTGCTGGTTAGTTTTCCACCAGAACCAGGGGTGTTGTTTTCTTTGTGACGCTGTCTCATTAATCTTTTATTTTCCTCATCTAATATTTTGTTTTCTTCAAACAACACGTTCACCTAAGCATATCAAAACATTTTAATAGTTATTGTTAGAATGTTACGAAACCGTATAAGGGAATTATTTCTAATAATCTGCTCACCTCCTCTTCAGCTCTATGAAGATTGATCCTTAAATGTTCCTTGTCTTTCTCCAGAGACTTGACCTCAGCAGCCAGTGCTATAACTTTCTGAGTTGATGGCCTCAAGCTAACATAAAATGAAGAATACCGCAAAAGATGTGAGATGAGTGTGAGAAGAGTCGCACAAGGATATGCTACTCTGGTCACACGAGTAGTTTCCAACAAGTGATCCAAACATTATCGTGGATACTTACATAATCCAGTAAATTGAAATAACAAAGATCTGCTCACCTATTCCACATTTTCAACATCCTTTGGCACCCTTCTACTCCACTATTTGCCTCTAGAAAAGCACGAGCAGTTGATGCAACTTCATCTTTGTCAATCAAAGTTGCCAGCAATGACTCAAGAAAAAGTTGTTCCATTGACGAGTCCTCTTCAGATGTAGCAACCTTCAGATAAAACCGTCATATAATAATAGTCAGCCTCCGTGTGCATTTCTTCATCGAAAGTGAAACCATATGCGGAGAGAGCGAAGAAGGGGAGGAGAAACAAGAAAGCTTGGTGAAAGAGAGATTTGGTTAATAAACTACTAAAATTAAACACTCACTTTAGTTTAAAATAAATTAATCCATATCAAATGCCAAACGATTAAAAAAAACTTGAATAGTTTGTGAGGGTTAATTTACCATAGTATCAAATGAAGCCATCAATTTGCACAAGTAATTACCATTTCATCGCTAACAGATATAGGAAAAAAAAAGTAATAATAGTTGGATTTGATTTTAAACCAATCTACTTTCAGTGACGTGCCATGTTCACTGAAAACACCACCTACCATGATAAAATCAATCAACTTAATGCACTATATTGCATTTGAGTCAACTTTAACTATTACATTTAGTACAGCTGCCATATAGTAGGAAGTGGGAACATCAACTCAGATTTCAACACATGGAAATCGGGTACCAAAAAAGTGTATTTCAGCTTCTATATATATTAGATTAGTTGATTCACTAAATCAATTTCAGCTGCCCTTCATTTCCCAAAAGAAATTAACAGCAAAGAGAGAAGATCTCACAGAGTAGCCATGTAGATTAAGCTATGATATAATAAAGAGATGACAAACAAATTATGCGATTAATGCTGGCATCCACCTCAAAAAGGAGGGGGCCAATGAATCAATACTACAAAATAAATTAATGCACTAGAACACATCTCTTAACTACCTTAATACAAAATTTAAATCAACACTAGACAGCACACGAAAAACCTCACCCTAAACTTTTCTTCTTTCAAAAATAAAAGAGAGGCCAGATGCAATACAAGAAATCCCCAGAGAATCTAAGTTCCACCTATGTGGCTGGGTTTAGCCACAATGATATTTCTTCCCCATCATCAATATTATAAACATTTGTCATCATAATTATAGACTTTTAGTCTATATAATATTTTATTCTTTAATAATTAAATATAAACCTAATCTGTTTAATGCTTGTCTACATAAATATAAAAACCTATTTCACAATCCTAGAGGCATACATTTTTTTGTCATTTTCACACTTGGTTGAAGGCATTAGTTTTGTTTTATTAATCACATTTTAGCTTATTCACGTAAAAGGAAGTTCTTAGGCATCCATAAGTTGAAAAAGTCACTAAAGCACTAAACAACATAATTCCATCAATCAAGCAAGAAAACAAGGGGAGACTGCAAAAAGCTGCCACCTTCATACTTGGGCATGCATTGCCACACTTACTTGCACAAGCGTATTCCATTTAACTAATTAAATGGACCCTCAGGACAGGCAAGAAATATATGATAAAAGAAGGAGTGTATGAAGACTTCTACCACAATAATACAACTATGTGTCCAAAAGGCCCCACTCGAGACTAATGACAAGAGGAAGATTTCAAGGCCTCATGTAATCACAGTTCTCCCTAGTTGTTCCCCCACCCCCAACCCTCACCACTTTTCCAACACAGTCATACACAACCCCTGCCCCCTCTGGCTTTCTTTTTTGGAAGAATGTTCTTCGTCTAGTAAAATTTTGACAAATCTCTTTCTCCAAAATCTGTCTAGAGAGAGGAGGCTGGCTAAAATCTTCTAAATTCATTCAGGATCAGAACGTTGAAAGAGATTTCTATTAGATCAATATTGTCTGAAAAATCCAAGAATAAACACAGCATGTTGAATAATTATACACAAAAAACACTCCAAATCCAAAAGCCAATTTTCGATGCACATATCAAAACTAATATCCATTCAGGATGTTAAATTTGGAAGGACATAATAACTTGATACTGAATTGCCGATCCTGGATTTAAGTGCAAGGAATGTTTGTCCTGATAACAAATTTCTTTAATGAGTGAAAAAAAAGGGTTCCTCGGACAACATTAAGCACACAGAAATAAAAAGCTATGAAAAAACAGGGAGAAATTGACCTGTTGCATCTCACACCGACGTTTGTAAAAATGCAATTGTTCCGATAAACTTCTGACCTCCTCCTCCAACTCGTGAACACGTATCTCTGCCTCCTTTGCACGTTCATCGGCCTCATTCCCGAAATCCATCAATGCCTCTCGATCATGATCGTAGAGCGAACACTCCCTCTCCCACTTTTTACATTGACCCAACAGATTTGAACACTCCATCGCCAATTTCTGATTCTCTTCCACAAATTTCTTCAATGCTTGCGCATTCATGCATGATTCAGCCTAAATCCAAAAAACAACGATAAAACAAAAGCCCTACAAACCCTTTAAGAAAGAAAAAGCAAGTTAGGGATTGATGGCGGATTACGAACCCTAGCTCGCTCGATGATTTCGTCTTTCTCCTTCAATCTCGCTAGCAAATACAAGTACTGATCCCGCAGACGCGTTTGGGCTTCTTCGGAGGCTCGAAGCTTTAACTCGAGGGTGTGTTTTGAGACTGGGAGGCCAAGCGAGTTCTCAATCGATTCTTGTATATAATCGTCCACTTCTTGCGAAAGATCCATTCTTGATCCTAGAAACCCTAGAATTTAATCAAGATTTATATTTCTTGAGAGAATTTCTGTGTGTGTGTGTGTGAGAGAGAGAGAGAGAGAGAGAGAGAGAGAGGGTTTGGTCTGAGGGAGCGAAACGAGGGTTTTGGGTCTGAATACTTTTTGATTTTCTGAGATTTCGAATTGGGAAATGGGAGCGCTAGCCGTTAGCGGAGAGAGAGAGAGAGAGAGTGTATCGTTCTGTAAGTAAATGGATTTCGTGGGTCCGTTGAGGACATGAAAAGATCATGGCCGTTGATTATAAAACGGTTTTGGAGGAGTGGAGATCAAGTGTTGTTGAGACCACGGAATGAGGAAGTCTTAGAATGAATCCAATCCATGGTCTTCCCAATTGTCGGCTGTTAAGTTTGGAGTAATCGATTGTTTTATTCCAAGTTTCGGTTTTGATTGAATGATACCCAAAAAAAAAAAAAGTGGATATATTAGAAATTAAAAAACGAATTTATCGAGAATTATATTAAGATTAAGATTGATAATCAAGTTGAGCCTATCAAACTTATTTTTTAAAATAAATTTTAAATTTTGTTTAAGTTCAGTTCATTTTTCTAAACAAGTAAGACGAGTTCAAAATGAGTCAAACCTAAGTAATTCAATTATTTTCATATATAAATGAGATAAACCTAAAAAATTGTTTAAGTACAGGTTATTTGAATTGTCTAAACCGAACTCAAAATGAGTTGAACTCGACTTGATTCTATTATCAGCCCTATTTAAGAATAAGCAAATAATTGATAGTGAGAAAGAGAAAAAGGAAAAAAAACAAATTTTCTTTGTTGTTTTGCTTAAACTAGAAATCAAGCACACAATGCCAATGTCAAATATACTCCCTAATTACATGACAATTTAAAATTTCTTACAATATTTTTTATCATGCAGAAAGAAGAAAGGGCTCTTTGGAGAAAAGAGACAATTTAATTGGATGGCTATATGTATACAAAAGAAATCAAATGAAAAATAAAAAAACTTTGAAGTGGTGGATAAAAACCATTTCTCTCTTATTACATAGACCCAGACATAAGGACATACAAGTAGTATTGGACATTCTTGACTGTTGAATCAAAATGAAAAAACAAATAGTAATAGGGTGTCAATTCATATCATTTTATTTTTTGTGTTGTGTCATCTTCGTATTAATAGAAAATATGATTTTTAATTAAATATAATGGCAAAACAAAATTCATGTAGTTGGCCCCAAAAATATTAATAGAAGGTTTTATTTTTTTGAGTTGAGTTTAGTGTCTTGTTTGTGTTAGTATTTTGTCAATAAAAATTATTTAATTATAAAAACAACTCATATGAATTATGATCCTTTGAAATACAAAATTATATATATATATGCTGATACGATCATCTCCAATCCTTTAAACCAAACTCAAATTTAAATTCAAGTAAAAATGACTCAAAATTCTCTTCGTTCATTCTGTAACTTAAACTTATATCAAATTAAGAGAAATTCTTCCCTTGATCCAAATTAAGGGAACATCAAACTTTTACTCAAAATTTTTGAGCCAAAACTGAACCGTTCTCTCTCCTCTTTTTGTGGTTGATCTGTGAATAAAGGAAGGATTCCGTACCAACACTTTCCCCATCATTTCTCATGGCACTCCTCCGCCACTCCTCCCATCATAACTTCCGGTACCACGGACCACTTTTTTCGTCACAGCTTTCATAACAAAACCTAACCCTAAACCTAACATCTCCCCATCAAGAAGGGGGTTTGATAGACCTAATTCGACTTCAGTGAGCGATCTTGAAGAAGATGATAGGTAGGAGTTCTACCCAAAACTTGAAGATGATGGGTAGGAGTTCGACCAACATCCTTGGAATTTTGAAATCGATAAAACTTGAAGAGGGGAAAAAAAAATAAAGAAATAGCTTTTATGATAATATAAGATTTTTTTTTAAGACTTAGAGTATCAAATTGGATTTTTTCATTGGAGGAGTTGAAATTAAGCTTTTGACTCAATTTTTTATTTAAATTTGAATTTGAGTTTAAATCAACATTGGAGATGCCGTGGCCATAACACCAAGAAGGTTGCACCTGGCTTTGGCTCAATATCATTTTTTTTTCCGTTATTAATGCTTTGGTGAACCGTAAAGTGCAATGCATGAAGCCCAAATATACATTTGAAACTCTTGTCTTACGGTAATTTAAATGGTAATAGAAATGAGTTGTAAATTATATTAGATAACTTGAGTTTGAATTTTGACGATCTCCTAGGACGAGGTCATATGAAATTTATCCCTCATAAATACCTTAATCCCAACGTGAATGGTTTACCTTTGATTGAACTGAAGAGAGGATTATTCAATGTGTAGGTAAGTTGACTCAGACACCTTAACCCTTGAACTAACAAAAAAAAAAAAGAAATAGTAAATTAGGCTAGAGTATCTCTTTTGGTGTGTAAACTAATTTTAGTCCTATCGAATTTTTAATATAAAAAAGGTCGTCTGATTTTTAAAAAACTTGCATGCTCTTATGTCGGTGTGAATGTTCAGGGATTTGTTTTTTTTTTTAGAAAGAGAAATTCTATTGATTAAAAATTAAATTATACCTAGCTAGGGGGAGACCCCTCGATGCAATCTAATTACATTAAAAGGAATAAAGGAGAAAAATGCATGCATAATAAAAAATTATGAAGAAATAACAAAAAAATACTATATATGTCACCTAAATGAGCTAAGAATAGCAGTTGAGATGTAATAAATGAGCTCAGAGTGCAGCCACTGTCATGAATTAGATACCAACTGAGTGCAGAAGCTTAAATGATTAACCACGAGCAGCAACTGGTATGAGCCTGGAGACAAGCTGAGGGTTATCATATATGACAACTGAGAATGAATATAGACAAGGGAGCCCTGATGAAATATCTCGATCTTTGCAATCCAAACCATCCGACTAGCTTCAGGTTTTCTCCTACTGCCTTAGCACTCCTGGCCTCCTGGGTTTAGATAGACCCAAGATTTCTTTGCCTTAATGATCTAAGCTGTCTCTGATCCTGTAAAATCAGAGTTCTTGCTTGGGCTGGGATGGAATTGGGTGAAGCAGTTCGAAACTCTGTTTTATCCACTACCCCTTTCCTAGCCAAATAGTCAGCTACCATATTTCCTTCTCTATAAGTGTGAACCAGTGTACAAGACAAAACACTCATCCTCCTAGAGATTTGATTAGTCAGTTCCCTTAGCCTCCATGGAACTTTTATTTTCCCTGAAAGCATATCCAAGAGCACTCGAGAATCTAATTCAGTGATAAATGAATAAACCGATAAGCCATAATCTTCCAATAGGATCAAACCATCTAACATAGCTCTACTCTCAGCTTCCATATTTGTACAATGCCCATAATAAAATGATCCTGCAACTACTAACTGGCCCCATTGATTGTGCAGAATAGCCCCCCCCCTACCTCTCCAGGATTGTCGTGAGAGGCTCCATTTGTATTCAATTTAAGAAAACCTTCCGGAGGAAACTCCCACTCTATCCATAAAGCTTTATAGAAAAAATTAGAGTAGGTTGGAACCTTAAGTTCAGACAACAATAACTTACCTTGTAGAGAATCAGCAGCCTTTGGTCTCACTACATATCCTTGTAACTTTAAGTAGTTTAAAATAACAGATATAAGACATGAAGAGTGAATCTTAGTACCCTCAAAAAGTCTCTTGCATCTTTCCTTCCACAGTTGCTAGAAAATGAGAAGGGATATACCTCTGACCAATGAATGGTTATAAGAATTCCTAGTAAAGGCCCTAGTTAGTTTGAAGAATCTCATCATCGGTAACTCATACTGAATTAAACAAAATCCCATTATACTTGCAAATCTATTCCACAACTCCCTTGCATATGCACAATCAATAAAAATATGAGAATAAGATTCCTCCCCCTCATAGCACAATGGAAATCTACTGGCCAAGGAAACCCCAATTTTCTGAAAGGTTACACCCATAGGTAAAGCTTGCTTGAACACCTTCCACCCAACCAACAAAGCACTAGGGGGAACATGTTGCTTCCAAAGGGTTGTTAAAACAGTATTCTTCTGTCTTCTGTCTCTAATTAGATTCCAAGCAGATTTAAACGTAAAAGAACTTGATTCAGTCAACTGCCACACCAATTGGTCAGGGATTTGTTAGTTACTAATTTTCATGTCCCATTTTTCCATCATCACATATTTCAGTCTAAAATATAATTTTTTTTGAGGTTTTTGTGGTGTTGTCTATCAATTTTGAAATTCAAACTTGTGAACTAAACAATTTGAACATTATGATGACGTCTGACGATTTTTATTTTAGTGTATCTGTCTGACAATCTGTGTTTATGGAGAAAAAGGTACATTAACGATATATGTGTTTAGTGTACCTGTATGACGAAATGTGTTTTAGTGTATTTGTTTGACGATCTATATTTATGGAGAATAAGGTACATTAACGATCTGTATTTTAGTGTACTTTTTTTACGATTTGTATTTATGAAGAAGAAGAAACATTAATGATATGTGTTCTAGTACACCTTTACGATAATCTTTGTTTTAATGTACATGTCTGACAATCTATGTTTATAAAAAAATGGTGCATTAACGATCTGTGTTTTAGTATAACTATTTGACGATTTATGTTTTAATATACTTGTCTAACCATTTGTGTTTTAGTGTACCCATCTAATGCTTTATTGCGTACCTGTTATTTTTTATTTTTTTTATTGCATAACTATTATTTTTTAGCTTGAAGGTATATATATATATATATATTTATTTTTTAATTGCGTACCTATTTTTTTAAGTGTACCTGTCTTACGATTTGTGTTTATAAAGAAAAATTTACATTATGATGACATAGCTTTTTAGAATAAGTGATGACATTATCATTATTTTTTGAAATTGTAAAGGGTTTTAGTTATGTCCATTGTTTTGACTTTTCAACATGGACTTAATTCAAAAAACAAATTAGAGACTAAAATTTTTTTTTGAAATCCTATTAGGCCTAGGATATGGCCTCCAAATCCCTCAACAAGAA